ACTCCCAGCACAAGGGTGAAGGGGTTGAGAGCGACAGTGTGGAGCGTGAAGGGTTTTCTTGAATGCCGTTAAATGGAGCACACCACACTACATAAAATGAACATAGTAAAAATTGTGGCAGTGAAGGCGCGATAGCAGGATATAGGAAATGTGAATAGTCCAGGGCAGAATGGGAGATACCACAACTGTTTAGCACACGTTTGGTCAAAGAATGGGCTTCGCTTATCTCTTTGACGAGCTGTACTATGGTGCTACGAATGGTGAGACTTACTGACGATGCCGGCAAAACCTCTATGAAAGTACCACGTCCACGGTCCAACTTTGGAAATAATCATGCATACAATGGACTTCGGACTAGTTACGTTCCTCTAAGTCTTCCTACCAATGCTGGAGAGAGTGGCGAAACCAGGAGACTTTATGGAGAACATGACATCTTTGCATTCAAGTGGTTACACCGAGCCTCTTCGATTTAGGATTATTCATGTCATTTACCAACATTCAATTTCTTGAATTCTGATTCCATGGAGAAATCAGTCTTAATTTTGGAGACTACAAAAGCAAAATAAAGCGTGATCGAATCAGACAAACTAGCGATCTGAATTTTGTTAGGTTAAACTGAACAAAATATCGTAGTTTAATTAAAGATATGAAGACAAAGATGTTGTGGCCTCTGTTTGGGTCGCAGTCTCCTTTCGATTTATAGAAATGGGTTGTTCTCGTTGTCGCAACTTGGTCTTGTGTTCAGGGAGACTATGTAGAACGCACCGAGTACGAAGTCGTCTGCCATAGTAGTTGTCTAGATTGCCAGCATCTGACAGTGGACTTGATACATTCTCAAACGTTTCGACGGCATCGTAGTCGACATCATCCGTGAGCCTTACCATTCTCCGCAACAAGATACGAACTCGTCAAAGAGACTTTGACGGCAAGGCTCACTGATGATGCCAACTACGATGCCGGCGAAACGTTTTGATAATGTATCAAGTCCACTGTCAGATGCTGGGAATCCAGACAACTACTATGGCAGACGACTTCGGACCCGGTGCGTTCTACATAGTCTCCCTGAACACAAGACCAAGTTGTGACAACGAGGTCAACCCACTTCTTTTAAAATAATATCGTAGATTATTTAAAAATATGTACCACTTGTTTAGATTAATTATAGCAAATAAATACACGATCTTTTAAATGAGAAATCAATTGTTAAGAATGGCAATCAACAGTAAAGAAAAGAAATGATGAAAAAAAAAGTAATTTAATAATGAAACTATCTTTAGCTAAGAGCTAAAGACTCCTTGACTGATTGATTGGAATCGCTCTCATTTCAGCTCGCATGCACAAAAACTCACTTAGCAGTGTCATGAAGAGTATCGAAAGAATGTTAGTTAGCCACCAAGTAGGCGAAATAGGTATGGATTTGGCGTAGGATAGGCAGGCAACAAAATGCCAGAAGTGTACAGTACAAGTGAAATCGAGACATTGTTTACTGCGTTTTACGATTCGCCAAAGCCCGAAAGCACAAACCAAGGAAGTTAGCAGAAAAGCAGAAACCAAAATTTTACCGGTGGGCTCACGAAAGCGCAGGTCATCGGGAGAGAAAAGGCAGCGAAGCGTAGCGGTATAGCCCAAAGGAGTGTAAAAAGCGAGCATGAGTAAGCCAGACGAGAGATAAAAAAGACATTGAAGCGTGACCATTTGGGCCACGATCAGGATCGGGTCCCAGGCATTGCTTCGAAATCGAGGAGCCATTCCTAAATTTAGCAACGAGGACAACTCCAGGCCATAATAAAGTCAAAATGAATCTGTAAATAGAGGAAAAAGCGTATAAATTGTTAATAGAATGCAAATTAAAATATCTGGTACAAAGAACAAAGGATTTACAGCTGAAATATCAGCTATGTTTATTGAGATTTTACAAGAGGCATAGCCTAGGTTTTATTAGAAGTGAGGTGAAAAAAATAGTGAAAGGATTTGGCCAAAATTTGGCAAAAAATATTGTGTAGAATAGAGCAAGAGTCATTTTCTGCGAAGTCCAAGAACATTGCGCGTCTAAAATAGAAAAAGAAAAATAATTAGACCAAGAGTGATGCAATTTAAATAATTTAGTTCGTACTAGGTAGCATTATCAATATTTTCGTACAAAAATGAGTGATGTAGGAGGGCTACAAAAAAGTAGTGAAAAAAATCTACTTGTTTTTGAAAATATAGGATTATGATGAAATATAAAATTTACCACAGTGCTGAATGCAAAGACGCCCTCACGAAGCATTATGGCGTACGAAGAAAGCTGCAAGGCAGAAGAAGATTGAATGTTTTAGTCTAATATAATGCAAAAATGATTTTACATGATTAAAAAGTATTTATTCAATCAAGCATAATTTCCTCAAAATACATAAGGAACGGAAAAATAAGATGAAATGATGCATAATGAATTTCATATTTCTAATTAGATTAGTATACCACCCGGTTTTAAACAACGATTCAATGTCTGGGTCTGCCAACTACTTTGAGAGCCTACCGCTTGAGTTAGAAAAGGTACATAGTTCTCTGTGGAGTACAGCAACAACAATGGAGTATGTTCTTCAACATAGATAGGCAAGCTTTTCTCATAAAGTTCGGCATAAATTCAACTATAAAGCAGGTAAAATAGTATTTAGTGTTAGAGTCCGTGGAATGTAGTGAAATGATATAGCATTCAAGGTCGTAACGGTGACAAAAACTTAAGAGATTGTTTTCCATTCCTACAAAACGTTTGGTTCTAGACCACTCTATCTAGTGTCCTGTAGTGACCATATGTTCAGCTACCTCCGATTTCTGGACATATAAAGACTTGTAGGCGGATTTGTGTTCTGGTAACCTCTTATGTTTGGGTCGACAAGTCTCTTCCACATAGACACTAAAATATGAGCAAAAAACCTTATAATAACCTGATCTGCAGAGTCTGAAGACTCTAAAAGAAAAGATAATCAAGGATAGTATTAACTTTTTTATACATTGTCCTGATCTTCCATTTCCTCAGTATTTCATCAATCTTTTTCGAGAGCTAGCAAAATGGTATTCTCAGGAACCTAAATGAATGGTTGTCTAGTTCCTTGAATAGTTGGTTCCCCTTAACCAATTTCTTAATATTGCGAAATTATCGACAAGTAATCCGAATGTTTAATCATTCTTAGCTTATATTTTTCGTAGCTCTTCTAAATCCTGATCCTGGTAATTCATGTCTGCTAGACGCAAAAACCTCAGCTTTATTCTCGTCACATCTATTTTAAAGCAAAACTTATCTTCAAGACTAGACACCTCTTGTGCATGATAGTGTTACCCATTTTAATAGTTCTTCCTTTTGTTGTTCACCTAGGTGGTCCTTGTATAATTTATGAAAATTTCCAAAATTTTATTGTGGTACAATCGCAATGAGCGAACACACATTAGATATGCTTGCTCTATCCTATTATGATATGTTTGCTAGACGCATGGTAGGCTCCGAAATTCATACTACAATTACCTTCAACACTAAAATGGCAAATAACGAACATACATCAAATAAGTATATGATTTTGTCTTTAGCAGTCCGTCATGGAAAAGCTGGCAAGCGACAAAATGTCCAGTAAATATGAATGCTACAGTAAGCCTTCTAGTCGATTTTGTGGAGATTTATTAAGATAGAAATGGTTTTTAAAGAAAACCAGCT